TAGATGGATCTTAATTATAATAAATGTAAGATAATGCATGTGGGATATCATAATTTGGATGGGAATAACCTTAACAGTGTTATGAAAGAAAAGAATCTTGGTGTAGTGGTTGATCAGTCTCTAAAGCCATCCAAGCAGTATACTGTTGCTAGTGGTAGGGCAAATAGGATTTTAGGTTGTCTCTACAGAAATACATAATGCAATTCTAAAGTGGTTAAAATTTCATTGTATAGGTCACTGGTTAGGCCACATTTGGAATATTATATTCAGTCTTGGGCTCCTTACCTTAGGAAGGACATTGAATTGTTGGAAAAGGTTCAGAGGAGGGCTACTAGAATGGTGCCTAGGATGGAACGGTTGTCATAAGAGGAGAAGTTAAGATCTCTGAAATTGTTTTCCCTTGAAAATGGAAGAGTTAGAGGGGATGTGATTAAGGTGTTTAAGATTGTTAAGGAAATTGATAGTTTTGATGCACCATATTTGTTCATACTTAATAGTAAGACTAGGGGGCATAAATATAAATTTTAGCAGGGTGGTTGGCCTTTGGAATGATTTGAAATCGGATGTTATGGAGGCAGTAAATTTAAGTGAGTTTAAGAGAAAGCTTGATAACTATATGAATTATAAGGGCTGGCTTTGAGTTTTTTGTTGTTTTTTTTATTTAATAGTTTTACTATAGTTTAGAGGATGGGACAGCCTAGATGGACCAATAGGTCCCTTGTTGTCCCTAAACATTATGTTACAGTTGGAAATTTATACATAGGTTCTTGAACCCCAGAGAATATATATCATATTTTAAGTGTCAGGAGGGTCAAAGGGTATTTTTTAGGTCCTAAGGTCTGAATAAACCAATTTGTTTGAAAATCGCATTAACACATATGAAACATTAAACAACAATAATTAATTTCAAATTTGAGCTCCTAATAAGGAGAACAAAAGATTTTTGGTGGATCTCAAGATTGAGCCTGTGACATTATTTGTCTGTATGTGTGCAATGTGCCATAGAAGCAATGGTATACACTAACATTCTTTCCATATCTTTACTTCTACATAGTGATATACAAGTAGTTGTCTTGATTATGCATACAATGCATCCTAGGGAAGCTCCTAAGTTTTCTAGTGGCTAATATGTTATATATATTACATGACTATATCATGTGACTACTGCATATCCACAACAGGATAAATTTTGAGGCTCCTCCAACATTCACTGCTTACTTTTATAGCTGTACACAG